AAGCTCTGGTGGTATAGTGCTTAAGGCATTTGACTACTAACCAGAAGGCTGGCAGTTCAAACTCACCAACCACTCCTTGGAAGGATGACTGGGCAATCTACTTCCATAGAGATATCACCTCAGAAACCCAAGGAGGGATCTCTATGAGGCAAAACCAACTCAATCCCAAATATTTTGTTTCATGAATTCATCTTCCTTATCCTAGAATAAAAATAACAACAATGAAAAAATGTATGTATAAAAATATGCATTATAATATTGTTTTAAATATTTTTTCTTGAATCATACAGTCATTGAAGTAATATTATTGGCATACAGAAATACCTGATATGTATTTAAATAAAAATATCAATTTTTTATTTTATGAGATTATTTTTCTAATAAGCAATGAAAAATAAGCTTGTGTATGTGTAAAAGGATACTATTAAAAAAAAACATTTTATCTTTTAAGTAACATCTATTAATCTAGAGATTTGTGAACAATTACATTAATTTTTCTCTTACATTTTACAGTTTAGTGAGGCAGGTAAATAATTGCACAAAATTTCATGAGTACTGTAATAGAGAAATGAGGTATGCCATGAATTACAGAACACGCATATCTACCTAACCTAGACAGTCAGGAAACTTGTCTTGAGGATAAAACTTAAAAATGTAATATGATAAATATATACAATTTGGTTTGAGGAAAATGCAGAGAAGGAACTGTTAAGTTGTAATAGTGTTAAAGTATGACCAAAGCATATGCAAACATCAGAAATCAGAGCTGGAACGGACCTTTTAAGAAATGAAGAGAAAATGTGACTTAACAAAGCAGCTGGTGCTTATAGAATGCAAGCAGAAGGATAAAAGAGGCAGATATGCATCTAGAGATTAGAGAGATTATCAGGGATTTAAAAATAAGGCTATTGAATGCGTGCCATCCCTCGGCCATTTAGAGGTATGTTCCTTATAAGATGTATTCCAATTCAAAATTTCTATGACCATATATTTTTTCGTTGGTATATTACAACTCCACTACTCCTCTGTCAGTTAGTCGTACTTTGGTGGCTTGTGTGTTTCTGTGAGTTTGGAGGCCATGCCACCATTATTTCAAATACCATCAGGGTCACTGGTGGTGGACAGGTTTCAGCAGAGTTTCCAGACGAAGGCAGACTGGGAAGAAGGACAGTCACTGTGAATTAGTTGATGTTCGTCTATCTCAGTCACTGTTTATATGACATATAATTGAGAACAAATGGCATTAAAGGACAAAGTCGAAGCTTCCTTGAAGTAATTGGCAAAAAACAGGGCTCCTGAAATTGATGGAATACTCACTGAGATTTTTCAACAAATGAATGTCGCAGTGGAGGCACTTCCTCATCTATGACAAGAAATTTGAAAGAAAACCACCTGTCCAACTGCCTGGAAGATATCCATAGTTGTGCCCATTCCAAAGAAAGGTGATCCAATGGAATGTGGAAGTTAGCAAACAATAGCATTAATATCACACACACAAGTAAAATCTTGCTGAAGGTAATTCTAAAAGAGTTGCAGCGGTATATTGACAGGAAACTGCTTGAAATGCCAGCTGAATTCAGAAGAGGATGTGGAATGAGGGATATTATTGCTGATGCTGGCTGAAAACAAAGAATATTAGAAAGATGTTTATAAACCAAAAAAACAAACTCACTTCCATTAAGCTAGCTCCAACTCATAGCAACCCTTCCTTGGGTTTCTGAGGCAGTATTAGTGTGGAAGTTGATTGCCCCATATTCCTTCCAAGGAGTACCTGGTGGGTTTGATCTGCCAGCTTGCTGGTTAACAGTCAAATGCCTTAGGCACTATGCCACCAGAGCTCCCAAAAGATGTTTATGGACTATGGAAAAGAATTTGACTGTGTGGATCATAACAAATTATGGATAACAAACATTGAGAAGAATGGGAATTCCAGAACACTTAATTGTGTTCATGAGGAACCTGTACATAAAGCAAGAGGCTGTCATTTGGACAGAACAAGGAGATACTACATGGCTTAAGGTCAGGAAGGGACTGCATCGGGTTGCATCCTTTCACTTTACTTATTCTCTATGTATGCTGAGCTAATAATCCTTGATGCTGGGCTATATAAAGAAGAATGCAGCATCAGAATTGGAGGAAAACTCATTAACGACCTGAGGTATTCAGACGACATGACCTTGCTTGCTGAAAGTGAAGAAAGTGAAGAGGACTTGAAGCACTTCCTGATGAAGATTAAAGACTACAGTCTTCAGTATGGATTGTACCTCAACATAAAGAAAATGAAAATAGTCACCAGTGGACCAATAAGTACCATCAAAACAAATGGAGAAAAGATGGAAGTTATCAAAGATTACATATTACTTGGTTCCACTATCAACACCTATGGAAGCAACAGTCAAGAAATCAGATGTTGTAGTGCACTGGGCAAATGTGCTGCAAAAGACCTCTTTAAAGTGGTGAAGAGCAAAGATGTCCCTTTGAAGACTAAGGTACACCTAACCAAACAATGGTACTTTCAGTAGCCTCTTAGGCATTTGAAAGCTGGCTAATGATCAGGAAGAACAAAGAAGCATTTATGCTTTTGAGGTGCATGTTGGTAAAGAATAGTGAAAGTACCACGGACTGACAGAACTAACAAATCTGTCCTGGACGAAGTGAAGGCAGAATGCTTCTTGGAAGTGAGAATGGCCAGACTTCTGCTTGAGGTGACAGATAGGGACCAATCCCTAGAGAAGAACATCATGATTTGTAAAGTGAAGGGTCAGCTGAAAAGCAGAAGGCCCTTAACAAGATGAATTCACGCAGTGGCTGCAACAATGGGCTCAGGCATAGCACGTGATGTGAGGCTGGCTCAGGACCTGGCGGTTCTTCGCTCTGTTGGACGCTGGGTTGCTATGAGTTGTAGCCCACCACATGGCACCTAACAACAATCACATATTACTCCTATTTTCTAGAAGAGTCTTAGAGACATAAATCATCTTCCCCAGTGTAACACAGAAAGTATCAAGTTATAAACCCTGGTTTCTAAGACAGTAGACCCAGGGTTCTTGAGTATTTTTTTTTTTTTTTTAGTAGTAAGACCAGATTTGTGACACAGGAAAAAAAAAAAAAAATTTCAGTGTTGAAATTGTTTGAAATGGTGTGGGAGTGAGGCAGGTGTCATGGCATTTCTTCGGTGACCTGGATATGATCTGGTGGAGCACAAACCAGAATGGTAGCCATAGAGGTGGAGATGTGTAGACTGGGAGGAAGATATTTGACAGAAAAGGCTATGTTAATGGTGAGCTTGAAAGGGAAGGAAGGTAAAATGGAAAACCTAGATTTCTAATTTGTGGTACCATAAAAAAAAAAGAAATCAAATCATTACATAATTCAAAGCTGAAACCTGACATCGCTGAAAGAGGTGAACCCAGGATGTCAAAGGAATTGTGAGATACATGATAGAAGATAGTGTGGCGAGGGTAGAATACTCAAGAATCAAATTTCTGACTAATACTTAGTTGCAAAAATTTAGGATTTATTTCAGTTCAAAATTTCTAGGAAAACATGGTTCATTTGTCTACCTTAAATTCTCAATGATTCACCTTCTACTTTGTTAACACTACAGATGGGGTTATATCAGATAAGGAAACATAATTTGTGAAAAAAAAAGTGTTTTTTTTTTTTTAAGAAATGACTTACATGACCATGTTGTTGTTGTTATGTGCCCTCTAGTCAGACTGACTCACAGTGACCCCTCCTTGAGTTTCCAAGGCAGTAACATTACAGAAGAAGATTGCCCAAACTTCCTTCCAGGGAGTGGCTGGTGGGTTTGAACCACCAGCTAGAGGAGGGGCAAAAAAACCTCTGTGCTTTATATGCCTTGAAATTTACAATAAGCTATTAAAATGTCAATTTCAAAATTTCTGACTTTATTAACTAAAGGATTAGCCTGTACTGCTAATTTGGTGTACTGTTAGAATTGAGGGAAGTGGAGGCAGGGTGAAATGAGTTTATAACTAAGATATATATACTCTAAGATTACTAAAATAATGAGCTTGGAAATTCCTCATATCTTGAAGTTTAGTGATTTTAAAAGTAATCATGTTTATATCAAGATATTCCACATGGTCTAGGACAATGGATTTTATTTGTTCTTGTCTTAACAACTGGAAACTTTAAATTTAGAATATTCTGTCAACAGTGTGCAGTGAAAATACATTCATTTTTATTTTGTTTTAAAAATATCCTTTATGATGTATAAATATAATGGTTTGGAGCTTTTTGTATAATCAAACCTGAAATATTTTGTTTCTCCTCAGTGATAACCACCAAGATAATTGTTATTATGATGTGATATGGAGACAAATTGATATCTGTCAACATTATTTGTTTCTGTAATAACAATGCATATATTTACGGAATTCTTCTTTTCTACCTCTCTGAAGCTTCACACTGACCAAGATAAAGGAGATGGAAATTTAAAATACATATTAACAGGAGATGGGGCTGGCAGTCTGTTCCTTATAGATGAAAACACAGGAGATATTCATGCTGCAAAGAAATTAGACAGAGAAGAAAAGTCTTTATACATTCTTCGTGCCAAGGCCATAGATAGAAAGACCGGGCGGCAGGTGGAGCCTGAATCTGAATTTATCATTAAAATCCATGACATCAATGACAATGAACCAAAATTCACCAAAGACTTGTACATTGCCAGTGTTCCTGAAATGTCTGGAGTCGGTAGGTATATGCTAATCCATTTAAACAAACTTTTCTTCTGTGTTTTCCAAAGTAATTATAATGGATATAAGGCTTTTCAAGACAAGAGCTAAAAATTATAAGTGGAAACTTCTCTTCCTTGTTAAGCAATTCATTTTTAATTATTTTCAGTTCCGTGCATCTTAATATCCTCTGCTATATTTTAATTGATACCTAAAATTATTGCTGAGAGTAGTTATTCCATTTCACTACAATCAACACCTTCACCTCTATGCCACATGACAATCAAGTTGAATATATTTTCTGCTCTCCATGAAAAGAATACGCAGTGTCAGCATATTAGAAAATGTGTATTTACATTATTTTAAACAATAACTAATGTTTGATTTGAAAAATTTCCCTTTTAAATAGTGACTCACTTGATCATTACAATCACCTTATGTGACAATCATGGAATATAGAACTTTAAATTCTTTATTGACTAATTAAGAGACCAAGATTCAAGAAAATTAGACAAATGAATTAAGATCAAATAACTTGCTTGCATCAGAAGAAGATTCCAAGTCTTTTCATATTATAGTGCAGATTTCACTATTGAACACTGAGGTTTTCATGCAAATTGAAAATAATTATTTAAATTTTTACTGCTGCCCACATTTTTATGAACCATATATTATTGCATTAGCTTTTCATCTGTGTGACTACATTCATCTCTATTAATATGAAAAGTTCAAATTTATTAGTAAGATAACAAAAACTGACTTAAAGATCAAATATTTCTATGTAACAATGATATAAAATTATTGTAAAACTTAAAGAAGACCTCATGGTACAGTGGTAAAGTGCTCAGATGGTAACTGAAAAATTGATGTTTTGAACCCATTTGGCAGAAGAAATATGTGGCAATCCATTTCTGTAGTGATTACAACCTTAGATATACTATAGTGGCAGTTCTACTCTGTGCTGTCAGATCACTATGAGTTGGAATTGACTGGACAGCATACAACAATGAAAAAAATATCCAAAATATGAAACCAGTTTCCCAACTCTGATACCGTTAATTTATTTCAAAATATTTTTTAAGTATATGATTTCAACATTATCATAATTAATATGTTTCAGTCTAAAATAATGCCTGTGTTAGGAGAATCAAACTTACGTACACTTGTACTGAGTTACTAATGTAAAGAGGTTTCCTAACTGTGTGTGCTGTCAGACCAGAATGACCAATGGTTGGTAAAGTAGATGTTCTTCTTCCTGTAAACCCTTTAGGAAATCTTATTTGTCTGTGGAAATCATAGTTCTATTGCTATTTCACTTATTCAGTCCAATAATGTGAAAGTGACTTATCAAATCAAATCAGCATCCTATAGAATCATAAAGCCCTACGATAAAACTTGAGTGCATCTTTATTCCTTTTTTCTTTTTTTTTAATGATTCTTAGTCTTGCACTGTTTCATGGTAAGTACTTTATTAATCCATATAATTCTATTGTGAGCTAATTTAGATATACATCATAGATTCCCTATTGGCTTACGTTGATGCTGTATTACTATACTCTGTGGGTACAAATTACACTCTGTGGGTCAGCTTTCTATTAAATGTGCATTCTAAAGTAGTTTGATTGTCTGGTTAACATCTGTAACTTTTGTAAAACATTATTGCTTCTCTTGTATGTATATTTCTTTGTCTGAGATTTTGGTATCTATCAGCAAATACAATTTTATTTATCTTTCAGAAAGAATAAGCATACTTAGAAGAAAAGAAAAGCACAATAAAAATGGCAGAAATATTTGATTATGAGAAATTTTAATTATAATTTATTTAGAGTATATCTTAATTTTCAAAGTATTATCTCACCTTAAAAATCATAATCTTGTTCTATCAGACAATATTAATATTTAAGCTCAGATAACCTGTATTTTCTCCTTGTATTATTTTGTGATATTTATAGTCTCCACCATGTTTACAATTCCAACAAAACTAAGAAAAATATTTAGAAGTGAGCTGTATGGCTTAGGTTACCATCTTTTGGAACTAACAAGTAAGGATTTCAGAAGTACAGATAGAACCACTAGTAAATATAATGCTATGGCCAAATTTAAAAAATTTGTTATATCGCAGTGTTGCTATATCACAAAATAGTGTCACTCTTTTATTACAACTCTCCTACTCTATTTAGAGGGAAAAAAAATCATGATTATTTTGAAGATATGATTCCATTTCTTTTGCTTATACAAATAAACCATTTTACATAGGAAAACCAAAGGATGATATTCAAAATTTTTTCTCACTTTGTGTGTGACCCATATGTTTACAATTAAACCTATGCAATACCAAAAAAAAAAAATAAAGTGTGCATCTATAAATGAAGGAATGCACAATGATTCATTACCAATATTATTTTCATTATATTAGTGATTTTCATTTAAATCAAAGAGTAGAAAACTATCATTAGTAAATTTTGGAGAAAAAAGAGTTCAGTGGAGTACAACAAAATGTCTATTATAATACCCTTTTCTGTAAAGCTACTGTCCAACATTCCTCTTTAATATTGCACTCCAACTAACTACTTGCCTTCTTATTTGTGTTCCTTTTCATATCTTAACATTCCTGTCGATCATGTTTCTCTCTCCCCAACTTCTTACTTTTTTCATTTACTCTGTTTCTTTCTGTCACTAAAGTATACTATATTTAATTTTGGCTTTCAGACTGATGAGTCAATTCCAATAAAATTTTGAAATCTGAAACTATTGGTAATTACCATCTACTGATGGAAATGTGTGTGTGTGTGTGTGATCAGAGCAAATAATCCGAATGACATGAAAGATATATAATTAAATAAAATGGAATATACTTTAGAGAAATATTTGTACCAGGTTCCTACATTTTCGTGTCCATTTCTAGTGGTCATTGTATCATTGATTAACTTCTTCAGAATGCTCATTTATAAAAACATCTCTCAGCTTTCTATATTTGCATGTGTTCCATTTTATTTGGACAAATTTCCATTATGTAAATATGGTGGTTTTGAAAGCATGCTCTTTGAATGACTGGATCTTTCCCCTAAATCTTCTCTCAAAAATTGTTCAGTTCCTTACCACTACCATAAATCCCTATATAGTTTTTCACTTGTTGCTCGCAACTATATTCACTATGAATATGTCTTTGTAAACAAGCATTTATAACCATTACAGCATAAAAAATAAGCTATTTCCTTTCTAATTTTATTACCAGATCATGGTAATTGTGTAATAATTTCTGAGAATAAAACACATGCACAAAAATTATCTTTCCATTCCCTATTATTCAATAGGTTATCATCTGCATTGCTAATACAAATAAACCACAAGAAATTGTTTCATTATACCTGTGTTTAATAACATCTTTAATTATTGCAGTGATCTTGAGAAGGGGGACAAGTAGTATATAAGGCTATTTTTTAGTTCTTTACTCACATCATAGGACTAGTTTCTAGTCTTTAGAATGTAACTTGGAGATATAACTTTAGACAGTTACTTCCTTATGTTTAGTTTAAGTATTTTTTGGGTAAATTCAAAGAACACATGCCCACAATATAGAGCAAAAAAAAGAAATAAATAAGAGTGAAAATTAACAATAAATGTATTAATTCATGTCAAAAAACATACAGAGATGCGTTACTGCCTGCACCCATTGTGAGAGGTTAAAATCATATCCCAATAAAAACCAAACTCACTGCCACCCAGTCGATGCTGACTCGTAGCGGCACCCTTTGGGTTTTCAAGGTGGTAAATCTTTAAGGAAGTAGAGTGCCCAGACATACTTCTATGAAGTGGCTGATGGGTTTGAACTGCCAAACTTCTGGTTAGAACTCAAATGCCTTAGGCACTACACCACCAGAGAGCCCTAAAATGATACCACAGTAAAAGAAAAATGAAACTGAAAATGAAATGAAATGGCAACGGCAACAAAATAAATAATTTCCTTTTAAAAAATATATATATATTATATTACTTATATTTTCAACATATTATTTATGCTTAATAATTCCTATGTCAATAATTTCTCCAGATGTGAAAGCAATTATTGTCTAACATCTATTCACACAAAACCCACTAAACCAAACCCATTGCCATTGAGTCAATTACAACTCATAGTGACCCATAGCACAGAGTAGAACTGCCTCAAGGGTTTCAAGGCTGCAAATCTTTATGGAAGCAAATTCTCTCATCTTTCTACTACAGAGCTACTGTTGTTTTTGTTGTTGTGTGCTGTAAAGTTGGACCAGACTCATAGCGACCCCTCTTTGGGTTTCTGAGCAGTATCACTACCGTGAGGTAGCAGAAGTAGATTGCCCAAACTTCCTTCCGAGGAGTGGGTGGTGGGTTTAAACTGCCAGCCTTCTGGTTAGCAGTCAAGTGCCTTAGGCACTACGCTACCAGAGCTACTGGTGGATTCAAATTGCTAATGTTTTGGTTAGCAGCCAATTGCTTTAGCCACTGGCCTACCAGAGGTCCTCATATTCACACAGAATTTATATAAAATATAAATGAAATATAAGTCATAAAAGTCATTAAGTTGAACTGCTCAACATAACTGTGTGTG